GAGGAAAACTCACCCTAAACCCTAAACCCTAAACCCGAAACCCGAAACCCGAAACCCTAAACCAACCAACCAACCTAAACCCTAAACCCTGAACCCTCAAGGACCCCCAGTAAAGCCTTCATAAGGAGAGCAGAACTCTGCACCCGGGCCTGCGGGTGGTCCTCCAGGGCCTCACAGGAGACCCAGTGCCAGTCTCAGAGCTGAGAGGTTTAAGGGCTAGGGTCGGGGTTTAGGGTTTAGGGTTTAGGGTCTAGGGTTCAGGGTTTAGGGCTTAGGGTTTAGGGTCTATAGGGTCTAGGGTCTAGGGTCTGGATTAGGGTTTAGGGTTCAGGGTTTCGGGTTTAAGGTTTAGGGTTCAGGGTTCAGGGTTTAGGGTTTAGGGTTTAGGGTTCAAGGCTCAGGGTTCAGAGGAGTTTAGGGTGTAGGGGTTGAGGATGTGGGATTTTGGTCTTTCGCACTTCAGGGTATCCGGCAAAAAAGGGACCACACTTGCCCCCAGGCTGACCAGGTTTTGTTTGGGGTTTTAGGGGTTTTGGCAGCCTTAAAACCCCTAATCCGTAAACCCTAAACCCCAAACCCCAAGCCTCAAACCCTAAACCCTAAGCCCTAAACCCTAAACCCTAAGCCTAAGCCTAAACCCTGACCTGAACCCCCCGTACCCTTCCTTCTGAAGCACAAAGCTATGACTTGTATTGCGAATACTTCCAGCCCTTGATCCTGGGTTTAGGGTTTGGGGTTTGGGTTTAGGGTTTAAAGTTTAGGGTTTCGGGTTTAGGGTTTAGGGCTTAGGGCTTAGAGTTTAGGGTTTAGGGTTTACGGTTTACGGTTTAGGGTTTGGGCTTCAGCGCTTGCAGTACGCTACGACGAACACCTCAAAGCTCAAAGTTTGTGGGCTTGAAGAGGTTAACCCTACAAGCCCGAAACCCTGAAGGCTCAAACCATGCCACAGTTCTGAACCCTGAGTCATTCCTAACATAGCAATATGCTACTATACTACCGTTTTTTTCTCGAATATGAATATACTAATTGCGCAACCACATGTCAATATCATGCTCATGTACGAACATAGCCATATACTTATGTTATGCTACTATACCTACCAGCATACTCACATAGTGAAAATAAGCTTCATGTACGAATATTGCCATATACTTATATTATACGAATATTACTAGTATAACCATAGGCCCTAAACCCCAAACCTTAAACCCAAACCCTTAACCCTTAACCCTAAACCATCGGCCCGAAACCCCGAAATACGACCTCGAGGCGCTGAACGGCCGCACCGGGCGCTTGATCAAACTAGTGTCTGGGCTGGGGTGCATTTTCAACCAGGGGGGGGGGGGGGGGGGGGGGCTGAATCCACATGAGTGGGTTTAGGGTTTAGCGTTTAGGGTCTAGGGTTTAGGGTTTAGGGTTTAGGGGCCCCTTTTGTGTACCCCAGAACTTTTTCAGGAATTTGGGGTTTCGGGGTCTTGGCTGTGTGGGCAGGGTGTATGTAGGCTTCGCGGCCCGTCGTGTGAGTTAAGATTTAGGAATTTAGGCCTCTTAGTAGAGTAGGTAACCTTTAACCTTTTTGGGGTAGTGTAATCCCCTTATAACCCCAAAGGTTAACCTTGAATTCCCCCAGGTTACTAGGAGGCTAATTTTGCTGACTGATGAAGGAATGGGCATTCTTATCATACTTGCTGATTCTTGATTTGCTTGCTATCATTCTTATCATGCTCACTCGTTCTATGCTTTCTGTTGTTCTTGATGTTTACTTGCTCTTGTTCTCGGACTCACAGAGGGCCCTTATTCCCTTGTTTTCGGGTTTAGGTTCGCTTAGCAGCCCATTTAAACCAAAAAGGGGCACCCTTTGGTTAATTTTCCAGGTTACTCTTGGGTCTAGTCTCGATTTTTTCTTCCTCTTGTTCTTATTGTCCCGAAAATGATGTGCCTGCAAAAGACCCCCAAATAGTAGGATTCCCTCGAAATAAGGATTCAAGAAGGTATCCCGAAAACCCTAAACCCCAAACCCTGAACCCTGAACCCTAAACCCTAAACCCTCAACCCTAAACCCTAAACCCTCAACCCTAAACCCTAAACCCTCAACCCTAAACCCTAAACCCTAAACCCTAAACCCTAAACCCCCCACATGAGGACAAGTCCCTGACACCACCTCGGTGGCTCCTGCGTCTGGAAGGAGAGCCCCCAGACGTGGCGCTCCTTGGCGCAAAGGATCCCCTTGAGGTTTAGGGTGTGGGGTTTAGGGTTTAGGGTTTAGGGTTTAGGGTTTAGGGTTTAGGGTTTAGGGTTTAGGGTTTAGGGTTTAGGGTTTAGGAGTTCTGGGTACTAAGCCCTGATTCTGAAGCCCTATAAACCCTTGCAGTCGAAGCTTCACGTCTGGACTTTTGTGTTTGATCCGAGTCTTGCAGGCTTTGGGCTTGTATGGGGGGGCTGCTCCTAAGCCCTAAACCCTAAATCCTAAACTCAAGATACGGCCACTTCTATTGAGCCCCAAGACTAGAGACGTCAAGGCGAGCAATTCCTTGTGGGCCTGCACCCTTGATGCGTGACATTTTGGCCAAGTTGGCTACTACTTCGAACGGAGTAGTTTCATCGTTGACAAGGCACAAGCATGTTCGCAAACATCTCATCAGCGCGGCTCAGTGTCGACAGAAGGCCCGCCAACTCCCGGGCAAGGCACACTGCTCGTCGGCGGGTCACACACACAAGGTGCAAACGTTGGTAAGGTGCAAGTTTCATCGGAAAGAGAAAGCATTCAACGACTGGAGGCAGGCTCCAAGGCGGGTTTTGGGGGGGGTGGCGGAACAGATGTTTGCCCTCTGAAGAGGCCCGAGCTGAAGAGAAGCATTTTTGACTTTCGGAAGCGCCCGAGCCAGAGGGTGGATGGAAATGCGGCCTTTATGACAACACTGGTACAAGTGCTTGGATGCGAGATGCTAATCCGCAAGCCTTTAAGTCCTTGAAGCCCCGAAAACTTCAAGCTCATAAACCCTGAAGCTGCTCAAGCTCATACCCCTGACACCTTGAAACTTGAAGGGTTAGGGTTTAGGGTTTAGGGTGTCGGGTGCAGGGTTTAGGGTGTAGGGTTTAGGGTACCCTGAAATCCCTGAAACCCTTAAGCCCTAAACCCTAGACCCCTAACCCCTATAAACCCAAAACCCTTAACGTTACACCCCAAGTTACTTCCCCCACCTTCAGTTTGCTGGCAGGCACCGCATCCTTCCGGAGAAGTTGAAAGCCAAGGACAGGGTTGGCTACTGGCGCGCTCAGGGGGCTGTGGGGCAGTACAGGTTAAGGGTTAAGGGTTTAGGGTTTTGGGTTTAGGGGGTTAAGGGATTTCGGGTTTTAGAGTTTTGGGTTTTAGGGTGTGAGGGTCAAGCGGTTTCGGGTTTAGCTTTTGAGGGTTTAGGGTTTAGGGAGTACGGTGTTCCTGTGTCGGGCTGTGCGGTTGCCACTCCTCCTTGCTTTCGAGTCTTGGGGGGGCACCCTAAACCTAAACCCTCATTTGCACGCTGCCTTGGTTCGGGTTGCGCTGAGGAGTGGTTGGTCAGTCTCTTAGTCCTTAGGGTATAGGCTAGACTCTTCAGGCTTAGAATAAAGCATCCAAGGCCCCAAACCCCAAACAGTAAACTCTTACGTAGGGTTTAGAGACACTCAGAACTGAGGGTTTAGGGTTTAGGGTCCTAAACCCTAAACCCTAAACCCTAAATCCTTAAGTTTCCTACCCAACCCTCGACCCTACGTACATCTTCCTAAGCCCCCAGAACCCTATGATCATGGAGTCCAAGTCCTCGGAACCCGAAGCCCTCGGGCCTAAGCCTGAAGCAATAAACCCTACACCCTAAACCCTAAACCCTAGACCCTACACCCTAAACCCTAAACCCTAAACCCTAAACCCTAGACCCTAGACCCTAGACCCTAGACCCTAGACCCTAAACCCTATACCCTAAACCCTAAACCCTCAACCCTATCATCATGAACCTTTCAGCCTCTACTAAGCCTGAGGCCCATAAGAACCATGCGGCTTAGGAGTTCCCAACAGGGCCCCCTTTAACCTCACAGCTTCATCAATAGACTGCAAACCGTTTAGGGTTTAGGGTTCAGGGTTTAGGGTTTTGGGTTTTGGGTTTAGGGTTTAGGGTTTAGGGTTTAGGGTTTAGGGGGACAACTACAGAAACCTTGAATTCCTCACTGAGCCCCCTGAAGCTTTTGCAACACGTTGGCAAGGGAAGGATGCGGACGGACCCACTTCTTCGCTTGAGAGGGGGCTGTGAGGTTTTGGGGTTAGGGTGTAGGGTTTAGGGTTCAGGGTTCAGGGTTCGTAGTTTCGGGTTCAGGGCTTTTAGGTTTTAGGGTTTAGGACTATTGGGGTTTCGGCTGTTGGGTTTAGGGTTTAGGGCTGTTACATTTTGGAGTTTAGGGTTTAGGGCTGTTAGGGTTTAGGGTTAGGGTTGTGATCCGCTCCCCTACCTACCCTTAACCCTAAACCCTAAAGCCTAAACCCTAAATCCTATAAACCCTAAACCGCCAGAGACCGTGTCATGCCAATGATCCGCAGCCGTGTTCAGGCAGACTTTCAACCTCGGCAGGTCTAGGGGGTGTACCTCGGGGAAGCCCGAAACCCTTACGTTGGCCCCGGAGTTACCCAACAGGGTCGAGGGTTCGAGAGGTTGTGGTTTAGGTTTTCGGGTTTCGGGTTTCAGGTTTCGGGTTTAGGGTTTAGGGTTTAGGGTTTAGGTTTTAGGGTTTAGGGGGAGGTTGGTCGCTTCAAAGGTTGTAAGGTTAGGGGCGACTTCGAGCTTGAACTCCCGAAGATCACGCACAGAGGACTAGCGTTTGGCTTTAGGGTTTTGTCTGTAGAGTTTCAGGGTACAGGGTTTCTGTACCCTCGACCCTAAACCCTAAACCCTAAACCCTAAACCCTAAATTGCGAAGTTCAGCTTCCAAGCTCGGGCATCAACGCGTTTTTCCAGCTCGAGGGAGCCACAGCCATGGGGCAAACGGGGCTCTGCCGTACCGAGGTTCCTTGGACTCTGTTTTTTGGTTGGCTTTCGGGTGTAGGGTTTAGGGTTTAGGGCTTCGGGAACATTATGAAGCCCGAAGGCCCCAAACCCCCAACACCCCAAGATCCAGGTCTGCCTGCAGAGGGTTGACCTTCAACCTGGAACAAGGAACATGGGTTTCAGGGTTCAGGGTTTCAGGCTGTAGGGTTTTTGGGTTTAGGCTTTGGGAATTAGGCTTTAAAGTAATGTTTGGGGCTTTAGGGTTTGGAGTTTGGGGTTTCGGGGTCCAAGGAGAATCCCCGCAAACCCGTGGTGGGGTTGGGGCTCTATGGGATGAAGATACCCCTGCCCAGACCCCAAGGATCTGGTCAGGGCCTTGGACGCCATGTCGCCCTAAACCCTAAACCCTAAACCCTAAACCCTAAACCCTAAACCCTAAACCCTAAACCCGAATTTCTAAACCCCAAACCCAAACCCTAGACCCTAAACCCTACTTCATCATGGGCATGTTCTGGAAAGTAGGGTCACTTTTGTGGGTCACACCCCCCCCCCCCCCCCAGTATGGCTCCGATCTCCAGAGGCGACCCGAATATGTACTTTCTTTAGGGTTTGGGGATTAGGGTTTAGGGTTTGGGGTTTATGGTTTAGGGTTTAGGGTTTGGGGTTTAGGGTTTGGGGTTTAGGGTTTGGGGTTTAGGGTTTGGGGTTTGGGGTTTAGGGTGGGGGGTTGTGGGGTGCAGGGTGTATTGGCTTGTTCCTTGATTGGGTCAGCAAAGCACTCAAGCCAAACAGTCGTCAGCATCTCACCGAATCATAGGCTTGCATGGGTTCTTAAGATTAGGGGGAGCTTAACGTTAACCGAAGCGCCAGAAACGCTTCCCCCTCTAAGCTTGGGGGGGGGTTTAGGAGGTTTAGGGTTTAGGGTTTAGGGCTTTTGGGTTCTAGCACCCGAGTCGAGCATTTGGGGAGGCCATGGGCAGCCTGACCCCAAAACCTTACCACGCCGTGTCCTCAAGCCAATGAACCCTAAGCCCTCAGCAGTTGGAGCTTAGGGTTTAGGGTTTACGGTTTAGGGTGTAGGGTTTAGGGTTTAGGGTTCAAAGTGATCGACTCTGGGTCTTGAGGTTGCAATGTGGGAATCTTTTCAGAACAGGTTCCACAGAGATACCCGAAGCCACGCAACCACCATTTCAAACCCTACTAAACCCTAAACAATAGACCACCTGCAACTTTTACCAATTACCTCAATCCCGAAACACCTTAGGGCGCTGCTTGTTGAGGCCAGCCAGGTCGATGGCGGTGGAGACCCTTGCCATAACAGAACGATGGTTTCTAGGTATTATATGCTTTCGTGTAGTTTACGTACTGGTATGTGGTAGGGGATTTGAGAGTTGGCTACTTTGTATTCCCCATGTTGCCCTGTAAGCATGGTTTGTAGGGACTGTCTGCGGCTTGAGGGTTAGGAATTTAGGGTTTAGGCCGCAACGCTAAACCCTAAACCCGAACCCCTACCCCCTAACCCCTAAACCCTACACCCTACACCCTACACCCTACACCCTACACCCTACACCCTAAACCCTAAACCCTAAACCCTAAACCCTAAACCCTAAACCCTAACCTGCAGAGTCCGGCAAACCCCATGGCCCTCCCATGGCAAACCCCAAGGCTCCCCTTCCCCCCAAAGAACAAGGCAACCAGGCTGCTCAGCTCTGCTACTGGATGTTTAGTAGCTGAGTGGGTAGCTTTTCCCTTTTCGGGGTATACATCTAAGAGGCTCCGACCATTGACAACCCGAAAGGCTTGGGACCCTTGATCCTGCTTGGGGTGAGGGGGACGAGAATAAGGGACCCCCAATATAGACCCCCAAATACTGGGATCCCCTTATAATAAGGACCCCAACAAGGTACCCCTAATATCGTAAAACCCTAAACCCTAAACCCTAAACCCTGAACCCTAAACCCTAAACCCTAAACGTATCCCACATACGTAGGTACATGGGGTCCTCAGGGGAGCAAAATCGCGGCGAACAGCCCAGGAGCTGCTGCTGACGGGACCTCCGGCCATCATCGCCGGCCCTGGCTTGGAGGTTGGGTTTAGGGTTTAGGGTTAGGGTTTAGGGTTTAGGGTTTGGGGTTTAGGGTTCAGGGTTTAGGGTTTAGGGTTTGGGGTTTAGGGTTTGGGGTTTGGGGTTTGGGGTTTGGGGTTTCGGGTTTGGGGTTTGGGGTTTGGGTTTGGGTTTGGGGTTTGGGGGGGTTCCAATCAGGCTGCGATGCAGCCTGGTTCTATCAATCGGCAGCAGAACATCTCTAGCGTGACGCCTCAAGCCACCCCTGAACTCCTGAACCCCTTAAAGCCATAAACTCCAGAACCCCCATATGCGAAAAAACCAAAAACCCCAAACCCTAACCTTAAACCCCAAAACCCCCCAAAACCCCCCCCAAGCCCTCAAACTCCCAACCCATTACCACCCTAACCCCTAACCCCCAAACCTCTACTAAACCCCAAACCCCCTGAACCCCAACCCCCAAACCCCCTAACCCCCTAAATCCCGAACCCCCACCAGCGAGTTCATTGAGTACGTGGATGGTTTGAGTGCCGAAGCAATGCAGATGCTTCACGCCAAGACCACGGATGAGACGATGAAGACCATTGCCAAGTTCAAGGCAAGTGACAAGATGGTCAGAGACCTTGAGCGCCAGGCAAAGAAGAGGGACAAGAAGCAAACACACACGCCAAGACAAAGGAAGAGAAGAAGGAGGCAAAGCTGATTGAGGACACAACCCCCAAGCCCCGCCCGAGACCTCAAGCCCAAACCCCCAAACCCCAAACCCCCAAACCCTAAACCCTAAACCCTAAACTCTCAGATCCACCTTGAACTCTCACAGGCCACTGCCGATGCGCTCCGGAAGAAGATGGGCTGCGATGGCAGTCACACGGCTTTTGGTTTCGGGCTTAGGGTATATTCAGGGGTTTAGGGTTCAGGGTTTAGGGTTTAGGGTTTAGGGTTTAGGGTGAGGGTATATCTAGGGCTTATTGACGATGGATTTAGGGCTTACTTAGGGTATATTTAGGGCTCTATTTCGGGTTGATTGAGGGTTGGTGTGGGTTTGTAAGGGCTTCAGAGTTTAAGGCTTGGGCTTACAAGTTTGCAGAGGTTTGTACGGGTTTTGGAGTGTAAGGTGCAGGGTTTTGGTGCTGGGGGGGAGGGCGGGAGCAGGGTGTGTTGTTTGGGCTTCGTAAGCAAAACCATGGCGTTTCATGAGCCAACACAAACCCCCTGGCAATAAGTGCAATGAGTGGACGGGGGTGGAGCCCTAAACCCTAAACCCTAAACCCTAAAACCCAAACCCCTAAACCCTAAAGCCTAAAGCCAAAACCCAAAACCCTAAACCCTAAGCCTTAAACCCAAGGTCCGAGCGTCGACTGGAGCAGCTTCCCCTCGGGGGATCCAAACGTCCGGTTCAGGTGGCAGGACATCCAAGGACCGGGTTTAGGGTTTAGGGTTTAGGGCTTAGGGTTTAGGGTTTTGGGTTTGGGGTTTAGGGTTTGGGGTTTGGGGTTTGGGGGTTGGGTTTTTATGATACCCTTGAACGCCTCAAACTTCAACCTGAAACCCTATAAGCCCCTCAAGCCCCTGAACCCCCTAAATGCCCCCACGGACCCTTACTGAATCTCAAGCCCTGAACCCTGTAAACCGGTAACCCTACAACCCTAAACCCTGTAACCCTATAACCCTTAAACCCTAAACCCTTAGACCCTACATCAAACTATTGGTGCGGGATCACGGGACGGTGCGGCTGCAAAGTTGATCGGGTGTTGGGACATCGGTGTTCAGGGTTCAGGGTTCAGGGCGTAGGGTTTAGGGTTTAGAGTTTAGGGTTTAAAGTTTAGGGCTTGGGGTGTTGAGATTTGGGGGCGTTGAAAACTTCAGGATTACCGCATGTTGAGGGTGTTTGGAGTGGATTCTGTGTTCAGGGTTGCACCCGAAATCTCCACCAGCCCTGAACCCTAAATCCCCAACACCCCGAAAGAAGCCCTTGAAATCTCGCACGCAGCCCTAACTACAAAGACACCATATAAACCTTGCATGACCTCTCCCAAAGGAACCCTACCCTATTCCCGGACCCCTAAACCCCAAAGAAGGCCCCAAGCAGGACAGCACGTGATCTTCCTCTTCGACACCGTTGACAGGACGCTCGGGGGTTTAACCCTAAACTCTAAACCTTAAACCCTAGAGCCTAGACCCTAGACCCTAAACCCTAAACCCTAAACCCTAAACCCAAACCCCAAACCCCAAACCCTAACCTTGGGCTTCATGAGTGTATGGCTGCTACGCGTTAAGGGCTTAGGGTTCAGGGTCTAGTGTTTTGGGGTTTTGGGTCCAGGGCTTGGGGGGGGGGTAGGGTTTAGGGTTTAGGGTTTGGGGTTTGGGGTCTAGGGTTTAGCGTCTTGGGTTTGGGGTTCAGGGGTCTACGGTTCTGGGATTTGGGGATCTAGGCTTTAGGGCCTTGGGGTGCTTCGTGGGTGTCTTTCGGGCTTTGCCTTTCAGACGAAGCCTGCGCTTGGCCCGGGTTTGTTGTGTGTTTAGGGCTTGGTGCTTAAGTTTGTTGGGGGGGTTTAGGGGTTAGGGTTTAGGGAGGTACTTGTGCCCAGTAGCTGTGCAATTTCTCACTTTGTAGTGGTATGTGCATGTACGCTTTTATGCCGAAGTATTAGAATCGACGTGACAAAATTTGAGACGCTGAAGCTTCGGCACCTTGACACGGGGGATGACCCCGCTAGGCCGCTCTTTCAGACTATCGTTCGCGGTGGCTGCCGTGCCATGATCTACATCAGCCTGGACATCTTGCAGGCGAAGAATGGCTTGGACGCGAACCGGGTGCAGAGATTCCAGCCGCAAGTCATAGCCCAGTGCCATCGTGTGGGGCTCACCCCACATCAACGTCTTGGGGGAAAAGAAGCCGCAGCACCAGCCGGAGCAAGGGAGCGACCGGGTGTGGGCAACCCTTCAGACTTGGGTCTTTGGTTTAACGTTTAGGGATTAGGGGTTTAGGGTTTAGTGTAACCCGAAGACCCCTAGAGTCCAAACCTCTGCGGGGGCTGGTGGGTTTGTGGTTGAGGGGTTTAACGGCTAGGGTTTAGGGTTTAGGGTCTAGGGTGTGGGTCTTGAAGAGTAAAGTTCAAACCCCGAGAGCTCGAAGTCCATCACAAACAGGCCGAGGGCTAAACCCCTCAGCTTGATGAACCCTAAGCCCTAAACCGTAAACCGTAAACCCTAAACCCTAAACCCTAAACCCTAAACCCTAAACCCTAAACCCGAAGGGTCCCTAACCCCTAAAAAAAAGTGGCGCCCATTTGGCTCTAAACCCCAAACCCCAAACCCCAAACCCCAAACCCTAAACCCTAAACCCTAAACCCTAAACCCTAAACCCTAAACCCTAAACCCTAAACCCTAAACCCTAAACCCTAAACCCTTTGGAAGCCTAGACAGGGAGCGCCTCTTCGATCAGCTGTCCCTCTTGCAGCAACTCCAGGCCCAGGTTCTTAGGTTTGTCAGGTTTGGGATTTAGGGGTTTAGGGTTTAGGGTTTAAAGGTTTAGGGTTTAGGGTTTAGGGTTTAGGGTCACTACCTAAGCCCGGGTATTTGGCAAATAGGTTGATCAGGGTTCCGGGGTATTCTGCAAGGGACTCAGAAATGGGTCGCTTAGGGTTTTCCAAGAGCTTTCAATGCTTTGGATATGTAGGGTGCAAGGTTTAGGGCTTCAGGGATTCTGCGTTGTAGGGTTTATGGCTGCAGGGCTGAGTAGTTCGGGTTTAGGTGTTTGAGCTTTAGGTCTTTGGGCTTCAGGCTTTTTGGGGTTTCGGGCTCATCAGTCGAGTCCTCAGTCCTAAGTAGCCCCCCCCAAACCCTGAACCCTGAACCCCTACAGTTGCTGTTGGCTCGATGGGTTCCCATATCATCCCCTCATAACACCTATAGAGCTGCCCCTGACTTTAACACCCTGTTGAAATTCCATATACGCCCCTAAAGCCTCAACCGGAAAACCCCAAAACCCCGAAATTGTGCTAGATATCACCTGCAATTAGGGCTTCGCGCTCCCTGACAGCGACGACGCACCGAACAAGTGGAAGACCTACGCCCAGGCCTTGTCCCGGCAAGGCTTCTTCTACAAACGCCCCCGAACCCACGAATTTCCCCCTAAATCCCCGAACCGTTTGCCTGAAGGTTTAGGGTTTAGGGTTTAGGGTTTAGGGATAAGGGTTTAGGGTTTAGGGTTTAGGGAAGCCCACACATCCCAAGCCCTAGAAACCCTACAACCTGAGACGTGATTGAGGAGGCCTCGAGGTTTGAGAAGCAGGGTAATGAGATGGTTCCGATGTGGCTTGCGGCTGAGGGTTAAGGGTTCTTCTTTCTTTTCCGGGGTTACAAGCATAAATCGACCACAACTTAGCGACACCCTGAGCTCAAATGTCGGGATACAGTGCTGCAAGGAGGGGCTGTTGCTTAGCTGTTTCCCAGAAACCTACCCCGGAAAGCTGCTATTTCCAAGAGGCAGGGATGTGGGGTTCAGGGGTTTAGGGGTTTAGGGTTTAGGGTTTAGGGTTTAGGGTTCAGCAGGTTTTTTCTAGGTTAGACTCAACCGTGAGGGGGTCCCGACTATACTACAGAGCTGCAGGCCGATGGCTCTCATCAAAAAGAAGCCACTTCAGAGAACTTCCAAAGGATCTAAGGGTTTCGGGTTAGGGAACCCTAAACCCGAAACCCTAAACCCTAAACCCTAAAAACCCTAAACCCTAAACCTCAACCCTAAGGCCAAAGACTTGAATATGTGGAGCGTTGGGAAGAACAGGGGTACCCTGTTTGTGGGCTTTTTTTGCTTCGCCTTCCATCCTACACCCCCTGAGTCGCAAGTTAGGACTAGCATAGAAGAATGTAGGGGTTTTCAAAAATAAGTGACCCTCTAATATTTTTAGCCAAGTCACTCAGCCCCACGGGACTTTCGAGAACAATAGACCCCCAAACAGTAGGATTCCCTTACAACAAGGACCCCAATAAGGTACCCCTGATTTCGGACCCCCCCCCCATCTGTAGGACCCTTATATTAAGACCCTAGCCCTCAAGTCCCAAACCTTCCAGAGGACCCGAAAGACCTTAACCCTCAAGTCCCAAGCCTTCCGACTGGTGCCAACAAAAATCACTGACATGGCTTGGGCTTGAGAGTTTAGGGTTTAGGGTGTAGGGATTAGGGTGTAGGGTTTTGCGTTTAGGTTTGGGGTTTTGCCTGGCGCCTGGGAAGGCGGGGCGCTACGCCTGGGGACGTGCGCACCGCGTGACGGCCGCCGGACCTGGTGATTGCTTATGGCGTGTGTTAACGTGGGTGCCAGGAAACACTGTCTAGATCGTGGAGTTCGGGGCTCTAAGTACCATTGAACCATACTCTGAACAAAAACAATCCTCATTGTTTCGAAGGGTTTAGGGTTTAGCGTTTAGGGTCTAGGGTTTGGGGTTTTCTACCGGCACCCTTCCCTCTCCTGGCAGAGTCAGAAGGATATGCTTGGGCGTTTGCGCATTGACCACCCTGGATCCTTAATTCCCCTAGCCCGTTCACTTACCAGGAGCCCGTCTGACGGGCTTTAGTACTCGTGGGTCGGTTGGCGTTTAGGGAGGGATTCCACCTGAAGTTGGTAGCGAAGGTTCTACCGATACTCAAGAGTGCTGGGTAGGCATCCTAAACCCTAAACCCTGAACCCTAAACCCTAAACCCTAAACCCTGATCTTCATTCAGGAAGCTCAGGAGCCTGGAGTTCTGGAAAAGGTTCCTTAAGGTTCTTGGGCTTGGCCTTTGGGGTTTAGGGTTTAGGGTTTAGGGTTTAGGGTTTAGGGTTTAGGGTTTCCTCCCTTCCCTTGCTCCCTTGCTCCTTTGTGAGATATGTCTGCAGAGCGGCTTTCCTCCCAAATGCACAACTGAGAGAGGTCGTGATTCCCTGGTATCGGCCCTGCCAAATGGAGCGCACCAGTCGCTGGGAGGTCCCAGAATCAATTTCGGGTTGGGTTCATTGGGGGTTTGCATGTTCGGTTCAGAAGGAAGGACACTGCACACACAGAGGCCTGTGGACGCGTCCGACGAAAGCCTGCAAAGTTATTCAGCAGGCACATGCCCTCCAGCCCCACGCACACGCGCGCACACACACACACACACACCCACACGCACACGCACGCGCACATGGACACGCACACGCACAGACACAGACACAGACACAGGCACAGGCACAGGCACAGGCACAGGCACAGGCACATACACAGGCACAATGCACAATGCACAATGCACAATGCACAATGCACAATGCACAATGCACAATGCACAATGCACAATGCACAATGCACAATGCACAATGCACAATGCACAATGCACATACACACACACAGAGACATTCCAAGGTATACACCCACAATAATGCCAATGCCCTGTGTTCTCCTAAGGTTCATTTCTGGGGAATCTAGAAAAGAAAACCCTAAGCTTGGAGATGAAGGTGTGCAGTTTATATTTACATGGTTTGGGGTTTAGGGGCAAGCCTTTCGAATGGAAGTCTTGGACACCCAGTCCGGCGCTTGTTTCTTTTTTCTGAGGTGATCTGCTTGTATGGAGCCTTGGGGCGAGCAGGGGATCCCTTGAACAAATAGACCCTAAACCCTATAGGTTCACTGCGCAAAAACTGGCATGTTGTTCGCCCCTACTTCCTACTAAGCACGGAACGCTGGATTGGAGTAGTGCATGGGGATGGTTTTGAGGGATAGTTTTGGTTCTGCTTGCTTGCTTTCTGAACACCCTTAGACGCGGGCTTCAAACCCTAAACCCTAAATCCTAAACCCTACATCCTAAACCTGTGAACCCTAAACCCCGATTCTGCGCTCAACGTAAACACGCCTGTGACCCCGAGCCCCTGAACCACGCAACACCGCAGATCCACCTTGGATGCTATGTTCTGCTTGAGGGTTGTTTCAAGGTTTAGTTTTTGTTTTTTTTTTTTTTTTTTTGGGGGGGGGGGGGGCTAGGGGTTGCATAAGGGTTGAGGTTTAAGGGTTTAGGGTTTCAGGGTGTTTTAGGGTCCTCTGAGTATAGAACAACCCCCCAAAAAAGTGGTTGGACTCCCGTCCCTACTGTAAACTCGACGGCAGGCATTTGAGATTCCGATCACTAACTCTCGTCGGCTTCGGGTTAGGGTCGTAGGGTTTAGGGGTTTAAGGTTGGGGTTTACAGCTTAGGGTTTAGGCATACGTACCTGAAGATTCTAATGTTTCAGGGCTTAGGTATATCTGAAGACTCTGTGGTTCCTTTTTTGGGCTAGTCATACACGTTTCTAGTATACATCCCTAAACAGGTACTACAGACAAGCCTTTCGGCAACCCCTTCAAGTTAACCTCAAACCGAAAAGACCTCTCGCGCCCTGCCCTTCAGCCCCAATCGGGTGGGCCGTGGACGAACTCAGCCACTTGCCTGCAGCCTGTGCCGGGGGTTTGGGTTGAGGGTTTAGCCCTCAAGGTCCATGTACCTCATTATTATTTTCTTGGGCCCGAAAGCCCCTATACAGCAGGGACTTTACGGCTCTATTTAGGCGCATGGACCCTTAGGGCAGGGGTTTAGGGGTTTGCAGGTTCAGGGGTTAAGGGGTTTAGGGTTTGGGGGGCTGGGGTAGGCCTTGGGACAAGCTCGAGGATGGGCTGTTAGCTTCCTCAAACCTCATGCGACAAAGCCGAAACCCTCAACCCCTTCAAGCCTGTCAGAGTAAACCCTCCAGGTAGGCCCCTGGGATTGTCCACATTTTCCCTCATTGGGTCCCAAACCCTAAACCCTAAACTCTAAACCCTAAACCCTGAACCCTGAGCCCTGAACCTTAACCCCAAAACCCAACATGGGGAGGTCCCGGAAGGGCGTTGGCTCGATGTGCCCACGGCGCGGAGTTTGGCCGCGCTGCTCTCTGCCGAGGCAAGGAGAGTTCAGGGTTTTTGGGTTGGGGTTTAGGGTTTAATTAGGGTTTGGGGTTTAGAGTTACTCAAGGGTTTAGGGGGTTTGGGATCGGCGATTTTCGGGGTTTAGGGCTTAGTGGCTTTTCAATCGCCGTGAGAAGCCCTGTAGGGACCTGAAACCCTATGGCCTAAACGGAATCCCATGATGTCCCTAAACCCTAAACCAAATCTTAAGCCCTAAACCCGAAACCCTATAATCGGAAATCGCCGTGAGAAGCCCTGTAGGGACCTGAAACCCTATGGCCTAAACGGAATCCCATGATGTCCCTAAACCCTAAACCAAATCTTAAGCCCTAAACCCGAAACCCTATAATCGGAAATCGCCGTGAGAAGCCCTGTAGGGACCTGAAACCCTATGGCCTAAACGGAATCCCATGATGTCCCTAAACCCTAAACCAAATCTTAAGCCCTAAACCCGAAACCCTATAAACCCTAAACCCTCAACTTTTGGTTCTCATGGGACGAAGGTTGGGCTTCGCGGCTTAGCCCATCAGGGTTTGAAGGCTTACAGGTCTACGGCTCAAGGCTTACGAACCCTAAAGCCTAAACCACTTCAGTCGGGTTTAGGGTTTAGGGTTTCGGGTTTAGGGCTTAAGATTTGGTTTAAGGCGCAGTTTGGAGGCGTGAGGTTGGCAAGGGTGTCGGTAACAGTTTTCATTTTTAAGGGTATTTAAACACAATCAGAAATAAACATTTAGATTTTTAATACTATCCCAACCATGAACTGTAGACGCAGAGGTTTGAAGGGTACAAGGGCCTTCGAGGCCCGAGGGTTGTTGCGTGTCTCTTGCTGCTTTCACACACCGCGCTATTTCCTAAACCTGGCATACTGAGCCTCGAAAGCTAAGCCCTGAACCCGCAAGCGGAAAACCCTTAAACTCTATCTACGGTTGGAACCATGAGCCCTTTGTATCCTTACCCTGCTTTATAAGGATCCGAAGTATGGGCCCTGATTATGTATGGTGTATATCAGGATTACATATCAGGGGGCCCAGATTGAGGGCCGATATTTGGAACCTCAGACCCTAAAACCCTGAAAACCCCTTAAGTGGCAGCTCAGTGCGGCACGTCCTCCTGGCTTCGGACCCTCAAACTCTTACCCCTGCAAACCTCTCAATCCTTCATAAACCTCAAAGCACCCTATATCCTAAGCCCTAAATCCTAAACCCTCAATCCGAAACCCTAAGCCCGAATTCCTGCATCCTAAACCCTAATCCCTAATTCCTCAACCCCCTTCAACCTTGAGTCCGAAAGCCCTCAGCACTCTCTAACCTGGAAGGCCAAAGCAGTGTCAACCCTTGGCCCTAGCAGAAAGCCCCAGCCAAGCACCCCAAGCCCCAACACTACTACATTGGGAATGTGCCCCCTTATGCTAAGAGTCCTGAAGGGGGACTTTAGTAGAGGGGGGTACTATCATCCCTTAGTAGGGATTATTAGTATAAGGGGGAACATCCCAACCTGTGTCCCGAAACTCTAAACCCCAAACCCTAAACCCCAAACCCTGAACCCCAAACCCTGAACCCCAAACCCTAAACCCCACACTCTTATCTAACCCCAAACTCTAAACCCCAAAACCCCAAAGACTGACCCAATCCAGGCCCCAGCGCCTCCAGGGAACGGCCCGGCCATTGCGTTTCATGGCAGCAGTCGCGGGTTTAGGGTTTAGGGGATCGGGTTTCGGGTTTAGGGTTTAGGGTTTAGGGTTTCGGGTTTCGGGTTTAGGGCTCAGGGTTCAGGGTTTAGGGTTGAGGGCCTAGGGTTTAGGCTGGCAATCCCAGACGTCCTTGTAGGAGTCTTTTTGATTGTGTGGGGACAAAAAACCCTAAACGCAAAACCCTAAACCCTACAGCCCTTGTGAGAGTCCACTTTGGGATTTATGATGTCAAACCGAAGGGAACCCTTAGACATTAGTGATAAGCCCTAAACCCTAAACCCTAAACCCTAATCCCTTAGTGTGTTGTTCATTTCAGTTTAAGAGCTATTCAGGCTTGAGGGCCGCATCTTCGAGTCAGTCGCGGAATTACTGGAGCCTAAAACCTTGATTCCTCATGTATCAAGGCCACCCCTAAACCCAAAACCAAGCCCCAAACCCCTAAAGGTTAAGGGTTTAGGGTTTAGGGTGTAGGGTGTAGAGTTTAGGCTTCAAGCCCTAAACCTTACAAGCCCTGAACCTTGCGAAGCCGGCGGGCGCTTTGACACGTCCATGGAGTTGTGGGCGACATCAGGACAAAGCCGGCAAGGAATTCCATAGGCCAGCGGGCTTCCTCTTGGTTTAGGGTTTAGCGGTTTAGGGTTTAAGGGGGCGGGGGGCCTGAGTACTCCTGCCAAGTGCCAGCAATAAACTCAGCACAGGTTCTTGTCTCAGGTGGTTTACAGGGTTGTTTCGACATACAAGGTTGTGGTAAACCATGGTTTTGTCCTTGAAGAAGGTGGCCCTAGAACACCAGGGTGAGCCTGTGAGCCACACCGTTAGATGAGGAGTCAGCCCTCAACCCTAAACCCTAAACCCTAAACCCTAACCCTAAACCCTCAACCCTCAACCCTCAACCCTAAACCCTAAACCCTAAACCCTAAACCCTAACTATAGTTAGGGATCTGAAGAATCCGTGGCAAGTCCAAGGCTAGACTCCCGACCGCTTGTGCCGCTTTGGCGGCCACCCCTGTCGCTGTTCTTCGTCGAGCTGCACGAGGCTCAGGGTTCAGGGTTCATGGTTTGGGGTTTAGGGTTTAGGGGTCAGGGTTCAGGGTTTAGGGTTTAGGGTTTAGGGTTTGGGGTTTAGGGTTTAGGGGTCAGGGTTCAGGGTTTAGGGTTTTCGGGTTTAGGGGCATTCGGAGAGAAATCTTCGGTGGGTTGAGGAGGGCTTTTAGGGGGCTCGTAGGGCTTGTGGGTCTCAGAGGGTAGGGTTCGGGTGTAGGGTTTGGGGATTTAGGTTTTCTGGGGGTTGCTAGGGTTGAGCTGCTGGATTCCCTGCTAGGAGTTTATGGTTTTGGGGGTCTCAGGGTTCAGTGTGCAGGGTTTGGTAGCTTGACGATTTTCAGGTAGGGGCCCTTTCAAAACCCTGAACACCCTGTCAAAGGAGGAACCCGTCCGTTCGGCCGTTCCTCCGCGCGTGAGCATCCGCATGGAGCGCTTTGTTCCGTCGCGCGGCTGTGAAGGATGCGGGGCTTCTTCTAGAATTCGGCCTCCATATGTGGCCAGGGGAGCGGAGGGGGGGGGGGGGGGGGGGGGGGGGGGGGGGGGGGGGGGGGCAGCTTGTGAAGGAAGACGGAGAAGACGAGGTATCTACAGGGGAACACAAATGCATGTGAAGATGCATGCTCTGAACTTCAGGACGTCGAACCTTTGAGGGCACACGCTTCATAAGGCTTCTGTACATGGTGCCTCTATTCCGAGGCGGGATCCTGTGATATAATGATATAAGGGGATGCGATTTCATTTCAACTCCCACATACTTGGTGTTCAATTTATTGTTGGCCAGTGTGTGCTTCTTAGCTGGTCAGCAGAGTCTAGGAGCACGGAAAAGCCTCACCCCCTTGCAACCTGACACACCCTCGTCCTACGTAGAGAAGGACCGCATTCGGAAAAGAGCATGACAAGGGGACCATCAAGACTGGATTCAAAAACGGTGGTTCTATAAGAACAGTTGTTGAGTCAGACTGAGTCAGACATGGGGGGGGGTCCGAGTAGAGCGGTACCCACAATTCACAGTTATAGTGCTTTAGGGTAGATGCCCTAAACAACCCTAAACCCTAAACCCTAAACTCTATGTTGGGAAATGCCCACATGTTAGCGTTGTCGATGAAGAAGTATCCAGAAGGATTTTCCCAAAGATCTCCCGGTCACCTAACGCCGGGGGGGGGGGGGGGGGGGGGGGATTTGGGATCGTTCATGCCCAATTTTAGGGTTTCGGGATCAGGGTAGATCCTAAAATGATGATGATGACGATGATGACGATGATGATGACGATGTTGAAACCCTGAACCCTAAACCCCCAATTAAACCCGAAATCCGAAGCGCTCAACCCAACGCTGAGGTTTTTCTTGGATGTCTTCAAGGATCGCAAGAGGCTCGGCCGCAACAGGTCCCTGGAAGTCTTTATGCACTCCAAACTCCTGGCGTGCTTTCGGGCTTAGGGGGGTGTAGGGTCTAGAGCGGTTTAGGTTTAGGGTTTAGGGTTGAGGGTTTTGGGCTTTGGGTTTAGGGGTTTTGGTTTTGGGTTTATTGGGTTTAGGGTTGAGGGTCCTGCTTTCGGCGTGATTCGTGGGTCGGCGGTCAGCGTCAAGCCCGGGCACCTAAAGCCTAAACCAACCCTAAACCCTGAACCCTAAACCTCAAACCCTAAACCCGAAACCCGAAACCCTAAGCCCTAAACCCTAAACCCTAAACCCTAGTTCTTTTTAAAATTCTTCAAGAAGAGGGAGGTCCAAGCCCACACCACCGAAGCTCGGTACCTTCCCTAGGAGGGGCTCATGAGACGGCAAGGCCCTGAACCTGACTTAGGGTTTAGGGTTTAGGGTTTGGGTTTAGGGTTTGGGGTTTAGGGTTTGGGGTTTAGGGTTTGGGAGGATCTAGGGTTTAGGGTTTAGGGTTCAGAGAATAGCCCTCAATACCCCAAAACCCTGCAAACTCTCAAAAAACAACAGCCCTGAATTCAGCCCTGAACCCCTAGACCCTGAAGCCTAAAAGCTCCGAATCCACAGCCCTAAACAAACCTTAAGCTTTAAACCCGAAACTGCAGAAAATCTCAGGAATTTCCCTGGCACGGAGAAGCTCTTCGTCCTCTTCCCTGACCACGGCGCCTTCGACCGCTACAAGCAGAGCGTCGAGGCACATAGCCCGCGGTGGCATCACGGTTTCGGGTTTAGGGTTTAGGGTTTAGGGTTTAGGGTTCAGGGTTTAGGGTTTAGGGTTTAGGGTTTCAAGTTTATCTAGCCTAGTGGGGCTTACAGTACCCAATTTTGGGGTCATTTGGTCCCCCAAGGTAACCGCAGCAAGGCTTCAACCCGAAGACTTTCAACCAGACCTGGAAGATCCCAACAGCCAAAAGCAAAAGCCCTATAAACCCTAAACCCTAGATAAACCCTGAACCCTACATAATCCCTAAACCCTAAACCCTAAACCCTAAACCCTAAACCCTAAACCCTAAACCCTAAACCCTAAACCCTAAACCCTAAACCCTAAACCCTAAACCCTAAACCCTCAGCTGCTCGGCTCCTACTGCGCCAGGACCGCCTCGGGCTCGGTGCCGATCACATCTTGTACATCAACAAGACGCGCGCCGCTCCGCGCTGTTCGAAGCGACACCTGTTTTTGTAGTAGGCTTTAGGGTTTAGGGTTTAGGGTTTAGGGTTTAGGGTTTAGGGTTTAGGGTTTAGGGTTTAGGGTTTAGGGGATAAGGGTTGAGATTTACTGCAGGGTTTCAGGTCGCCGTTGCTGGAGGGTCCCTGGCAAAACCGCGAAGAAAGTGCATGTTCCAATGCCGACTTGTAAGAGGTTTGCGACTGAGGGCAGTTTTGTCACGCAGTCAGGAAGGAGCCAGGTTCGCAGCGCACGCGCAGGATGACTTTAGTGGATCCTAGACCTTAAACCCTAAACCCTAAGACCTAAACCCTAAACCCTAAACCCTAAAAGGATTCCCAAGTATCCTCTCCCCTTAGAACTCCTAAAATTGTCATTGGCGGAAGCGCTACCCCCAAATAATCATTCTTACGAAACGGGCCCCTAAACCCTAAACCCCAAACCCTAAAGGCAAGCCTTCTGTTGAAGAGCAACTCCAACTCCTTGGCCAAGATCGGAAGCCGTGCAACCCTGCCACCCTAACCCTGAAGCCCCAAAATCCTCAACCCTGAAACCCTAACACCCAAAATCCTTGAACCCTGAAGCCCTAAACCTGAAATCCTGAAACCCTAAACCCGTCAAACCCAAAAAACAACCGAAATCCTGAAACCATGAAACCCCAACACCCCAAGACGCCAAGACCCTGAGACCCAAAGGTCGGAGATCAGATCAAGCAGGAGCAGAAGCTCAACTACGAGCTTCCGGAAGGTGAATGAGGGTTTAGGGTCTAGGGTTGAGGGTTTAGGGTTTAGGGTTTGGGGTTTAGGGTTTAGGGTTCAGGGACGAGGACTCCAAGGTGTCATCTATGGGGATCTCTCAGCCGGGTGGACGCTGGAAGTTACCTTAGGGTTCGGTTCAGGGTTTATAGGCTTTAGGGGGTGTTTTAACCCTAAACCACACAACCAAAAGCCTAAATCCCAAATCCTGAAGCAACAACTTAGAGCAAGCTCCCGGCCAAAGGGCTATTGTTTGTGAGCGTTGTCTTAGTGGAGGGGGGGGGGGGGACGATGCCGACTAAACTCTCGCTGGTTGCTCTTGTACCCTCAGCCAAGTTCAGCCCCTAAACCCTAAACCCTAAACCCTAAACCCTAAACCCTAATCCCCTAAAGCCCAAACCTTTCTTCATGATCTCAGGTTGGAGTGGACTGCAGTTGGCCACAAATCAGAGTTAGGGTTTAGCGCTTAGGGTCTAGGCTTTAGGGTTTAGGGTATCGGGTTTAGGGTTTAGGGTTTAGGGTTTAGGGTATCGGGTTTAGGGGTGAAGCAGACAGCTTTCACTTACTTGTGCGGCCAGAGCGTATAGCCCTAGCCCCCTCAAGGCACTCAGCCTAACCCGTATGTCCGAAAGCCCCTCAACCTTGCTAAGTCCGACACCCAAATCCATACATCCTTTACACGAAAGCCCCTCAACCTCACTCCGTGATCCTAAGCCCTATAAGCCCTAAATCCCAGCAGAAGCCTGAAGAAAAAGCCCTTCCATTGGTGTTGCGAGGTGGCGTGGGTGAGAAGACTTTCTTCGACAAGGGCAACCATGCCTCTGGGACCCCCACTGCGGTGGTGGTTGAGGTCTGGGCGGTCTAGGTCTGTCTAGTTTATGTAGGCTAGGGGCTAGGATTGTGCGCTTAGGACCTAAACCCTAGGCCCCAGACCCTAAACCCTAAGTGCCCTAGGGCAGTTGAGCGGCTCGGGGCTTAGGCAGGGTTCAAGGGCTCAAGGGATCTATAGGGTCGGTCAGATGTACGCAAGGCTTACGATACTTTTTCCCTGCTGAAAGGCATAGTGCGACAAAGAGTCCTGGCAAGCGAGGGAGATGGCGTAAGAAGTTTTCATGGGATTGTCTCTAGAATTGTGTGAGCCATCGGCGCATGGAAGCCATCAACGACAAAGAGCGATAGCAACAACACCGATTTATGACATGGTTCCGTGTGGCAGTGCGACCCCAGAAGAGAAAACAGACCAAAGCCAATTCTTCCTAGAAGATACCCTTACAAGCGTCTCTCGAACATTGCTCGACATGGAAGTTATTCAAGATGCAAAGATTTTAGGGTTGAGGGTTTCGTCTGAGTAATATGGTGAGCTCAAGGGGTTTTGGAGGTTCTGGGAACCCTAAACCCTAAACCCTAAACCCTAAACCCTAAACCCTAAACCCTAAACCCTAAACCCTAAACCCTAAACCCTAAGTAAACCCAGGTGCTGGTCATCGACGACTTCACCAACTCGGGCGGCACTCTGTTTGGGGCTGTGACGCTGGTGCGTGCCGCGGTGGTGACAGCAGTCCCTACCATACGCCCTAAATCCTTTTTGTTCGGGGGTTCGGGTTTCGGGTTCTGGGTTTAGGGTTTAGGGTTTAGGGCTTAGGATGTAGGGTTTAGGGTTTAGGGTGGGGGTAGGCGGGGTTTCGGTTCTGGACCTCAACAAACCTGACCCGCCGGATCTTTCATGGGAGTTGTGCTTACTTGAGGCTTTCGATTTTCTCCCAAGTGGCAGCACGGGGTCTTTCGATTCTCTCCAGAATCGCAGTACGGGGAGCTTAGGTTCCAAGCCTTTTCTGGTATGAGACCTTCAACAGCTGTGGACTCTAGTGCTCATAAATCCACATACCTAAAATTTGAGTTTAGAGTTCAGGGCGTGTTTCTTGTGCGAGGTGTGCGTTTCCGTCATTTCGGGTGAGGGGTGCACACCGGCGTTGTGCTAATTAATGAAAATCCGTCAAATGTATGGACCATTGGATAGGAGACCAAACTAACATATAAACGAAGAATCTTTAATAGAAGAAGGACTTGCCTTGCATACAGTATTTGGGGACAGGTATGGCCCACTGGGTTTAGGGTTCAGGGTTTAGGGGTTTGGGGGTTTCGGGGGCTTTAGGACCTTTGGGGTTGAGGGGGTTATACAGTCCTTGAGTCAAAGCCTGCAACCGTTAAGTGGCGCCTCGAACACACAAAGAGGCAGCCTTCTCCGCTCCTCTGGTGGTCTCATGGGCCTGTCCGCGCGGGCTCCCAGATTGTTTGGGGTTTGCTTGGGGGTTAGGGTGTGAAGTTTCCGGTTTAGGTTGGGGGGGCTTGAAGTTTAAGGTTGGTGGTTTGGGTTTAGGTGTCTTGTTTTTTTTGGGGTTTAAGGTTTGGGGCTTGCGTGGCGGGGGGGAAAGCTATAGCAGCTAAGTAAGGAGTTGATGCGATCAAGAGTTGGTCTTGCAGGTTGGGCTTACGAGTTGAAGCCATTGGAAGGGCTTTTGGAAGGGCTTTTGGAAGGGCTTTTGGCTTCGGATTCTTAAGCTGGAACTACTAATTGATCATTCATAGTATGGAAGTTTCTCTAGAGCCCTAAACTCTGTTTAAACGCTAGACCCCAAACCCCCAAAACCCCAAAACCCCAAAACTACCCCAGAACCCCTAAACCCCTACGCCTCAGCCCCTAAAACCCTTAGCCTTCAACCTGAGGGCTACCCCTGATCCCCAGAAGCACTACACCCTAAATTCTGACCCTATAAACCCTAAACCCCTGAAGATTCGCTTCAGGAGAAGGAGCAGATCGAAGGATCCTTGCCCGCAGGGGGCCTGTGAGGATGTAGGGTTTAGGGTTTGGGGTGTGGGGTTTAGGGTTCAGGGTTTGGGGTTAGGGGTTTAGGTTTTAGGGTTTCGGGGGGGCGTTTGGGGGCATTTGGGTACCTCCCAAGCACGGGATGCCCAATCTAGGGTTTTGGTGAGACCTGATTTGGACGGGTTTCGGCAAGGAGGACTCTTCTGGGGTAGCTTGGCTTCTTTAGCAGCCATAGTGTGCCGAGAGCTTTGCAAGTAGGTTCTGTACAATAAGGGTTTTCCATCCAAGGCCCATGCTCAAAAGCGCTAGCGCCTAGCCCGGCATCAAGTCCGCAATCCGAAACCCTGTAAATCCTAAACCCTGAACCCTCAGACCCCAAAACACCCTGAAGTCTGAACGCTCCTTTTCTACGTCCGTCAGAGAAGGAAGGCGGGGTAAGTAACCTAATCCCCCCCCTTCCCTACTCCCTGGTACTCCCTTCTGAGATGCCTCCATATGTCTTGGACATTCCTGTGGGCCCAGGCCTGAACCCTACATCCTCAGAACCTTAAGGTTTAGGGTTTAGGGTTTAGGGTTTAGGGTTTAGGGTTTAGGGTTTAGGGTTTAGGGTTTAGGGTTTAGGGTTTAGGGTTTAGGGCCAGGGCTTAGGGTTTAGGGTTTAGGGTTTAGGGTTTAGGGTTTAGGGTTTTGGAGCCTCAGCAACTTTAGGGTTCAGGGCCTTTCCCGAGAGCACGGGCACTGCTTGGGTTCCTGACCCCTGGAGACTCTCATGTCAGGAGTTGCGGATTAGGGTTTCGGGTTTAGGATTTAGGGTTCAGGGGTTAGGGTTCAGGGTGTAGGGGTTAGGGTTTAGGGGGTTTTGGTACAGTACTATTTGGGGGGTTATTGTGGCTGTCCCCTATTGTCGTAAACCACCATGTCAAAGCCCCTCAACCTTCAAAGGGTCAATCGTTCAGGGTTTTTAGAGTTTCGGGACTAACCTTCAACCCTCAACCCTCAACCCTCAACCCTCAACCCTCAACCCTCAACCCTCAACCCTCAACCCTCAACCCTCAACCCTCAACCCTCAACCCTCAATCAACCCTAAACCCTAAACCCTAAACCCTAAACCCTTAGGCCGTCTCAAGTCCGTGGCAGGACTGGCCGTGTCCATCTTCGTCTCCCACCTGGTCGCCGCTTACACACCGGACAGCCCTTCCACCCCAGACGCCTCAGGGTTTAGGGTTTATAGGGTTGAGGGTTCTGGGTTTAGGGTTTATAGGGTTGAGGGTTCAGGATTTAGGGTGTATGTAGGGTTAAGGGTCTAGCACTTGCGATGGCGAAGAACACCCCCAAAATAGCCTTAAAGTCTAAACCTCTATACCCAGAAACCCTAAACCCTGGCCCACAAGCCTGTCGCCAGACATCCGAAACGTACTGGACCCTAAACTTCGCCCAAATCATTCCTAATCCCCCCAGGAGACGGTGGCCAAGATGCGAAAGAAGCTGACGGGCCTAGGCTCGATGGGGGTTTAGTGGTTTGCTTAGGGCTTAGGGTTTATAGGGTTTAGGGCTTAGGAGTTAGGGTTTAGGGCGTAGGGCGTAGGGCTTAGGGCTTAGGGCTTAGGGCTTAGGGCTTAGGGCTTAGGGGCTTAGGGCTTAGGGACTGTAGGGTGAAGGGTTTCAGGGCTTGAGGGTTTGAGGTGCTTTAGGGTTTGGAGATAATTTTTGGGGTTTAGGGTGTGAGGGTTTAGGGCGGCAGGTGGGACTTCATCGAGCTTGCAGCCACACGGTTTCTTCGCAGAATCTCTGGGTTGTAGGATGCGTCTTTGCTGTGGAGGTCTGTATGATTGTCTTTCCCAAAGCTAGCGATTGTTCAATTGATGGCGCACGGAACGCGCCCAGCGTTTAAACCACTTTACAGGTTTCTAGGGTTTGTTTTTCTTGTTTTGGGTGAGGGCGGGTGGGTGGGTGGGTGGGTGGGTGGGCGGGGTAAGAACGTCTTTTGTATTGCGGCCATGCCCAAATCACTGGTACAACATACTGTGCAAGGTTGTGGAACAAGACACGTTGTCGCAAGCACCCATGCCTTCGGCGACCATGCCCAAAACAGAGGCATTTCCAGCGTTTTGCCTCTTTGTACAACATACTGTGCAAGGATGTGGAACAAGACCCGTTGTCACAAGCATATAAAGCATGTGCCGGCCTCTGCAGCAAGTGTATGGCCTGACGAAGTTTCGCCCGCGTGGAGTCTGCACGAAAACGCTGCCGCCGCCCAGGTTTTTGCGCTGTAAACCTTCAAAAATATAGGATGTTTCAGGTGTTTTGCCCTTCTGCTTGATGCTTTTTGCTATACATAGTGCGTTTCACAGAATTTGGGCAACGTGGAGCAACCAACTATATGCACAAACGCAAAGGCACATTAGAATTGCAGGCAGCATGACCTTGTTTCAAGCTATGGTCTTTTGGGGTCGTGTGAATCACAGGGGGTCCGTTGTGCCAAGACTAAACAACTTAAACCTACATCCATACATTCTAAATCAAGTCCATCCCCGAATAGCACCAAAGAGCCCTGCACCTTAGATCCTAGACTCTTGCTCGTAGCCTAGGGCTGCAGAGACCCAAACAGCCAGTTTCGCCCTCTTGGGGGTTTCCAGTAATAAGGATTTATACTATCTCGGGGCGGTCTATTGTGGGTTACCCTTTTGGGGGTTCCAAAATTTAATAAGGATTAGACTATTTTTTCTCTTTTGGGGGGTCCGATACTACTAATTTGGGGCGTGTTCTGGGTTACCCGTGTTTTTTGAAACCCCCCGATGTAAGCATGTGGACCCCAGGATAGGGTCTTGAAGACAGAAAGCATGCTGGCTTGCGGACCCGGAGCTGCCCCAAGCCCTAAACCCTAAATCCTAAACCCTAAACCCTAAACCCTAAACCCTAAACCCTAAACCCTAAACCCTAAACCCTAAACCCTAAACCCCACACCCTAAACCCTAAACCCTATAAACCCTGTAAACCCTATAAACCCTAAACCCTTGCAGGCCCCACGTGCAAGCTTTACACCACCGACAGCATTCCGCTGACAACCAAACTCCTGGAAGACGAGCGCCAGGCTGGGTTTAGGGTTTAGGGTTTAGGGTTTAGGGTTTAGGGTGTAGGGTTTAGGGTCTAGGGTCTGGGGTGTGGGGTGTGGGGTGTGGGGAGCTGGCTGAGAGGGTAACCCCAAACATTTGGGGGTTTCCAAAAATAGGCGGTGCCCTTTGTGGAGGGTCCCGTTCAAAGGAGTCCTACTATTTGTGGGTCTATGACAGGGGTCCCTTATTTTCGTAAACTCACTCTTAGAGCAAGGGAGACCCTGAGGCAGGGTTCCGAGGCTTCAAAATTTCGGTAGTCAGGTTTAGGGTTCAGGGCTCCGGGTCTAACTTCCCCTGGAAACAAAGAGGATACCTTTTTAGTGATTAGGTTGCTGGGGAGCCTCGGTTTGATTTGCGCAGCCGTTTTTAGCACTAAGACTACACCCTAAACCCTAAACCCTAAACCCCAAACCCCAAACCCCAACCCCCAAACCCCAAACCCTAAACCCTAAACCCTAAACCCTAAACCCTAAACCCTAAACCCTACAGACCCTAACCTGAAGAGACTGCACCCTTGCTTCCTACAGGCGGAGGTGCTTCCGCTCGCGGACTTCTTCCTGGAGTATTTGAGATGAGCTGCTCGGATGCTTATCCTAAGATCCAGAGAACCAAGTCAAAAAGGGACCCAACTTAGAGAATTGGCCCCTGAAGCCTAAACCCTAAACCCTAAACCCTAAACCCTAAACCCTAAACCCTAAACCCTAAACCCTAAACCCTAAACCCTAAACCCTAAACCCTAAACCCTACACCCTAAACCCTAAACCCTAAACCCTAAACCCTACACCCTAACCCTAAACCCTACAGGTCTAACAGGGCAATGTGAGGATGCCTTGCCGAGGTGGTGGTCAAGCGCGTTGGCAAGTTGTCTGCGTGAGCACAGCCGTAGGACCGTAGGAGGTAAGACTTTAAGACAGGCACCCCGCAGCTCTGGTACCGGGTAAGGGAAACTTTGGATTAATCAGAATACTAATACTAATACTAAGAAGAAGAAGAAGAAGAATTTTCAGAAAGTGTTAACGGGCCAACCGAGTCGAGCGCCGGATGCCCTGTGTGTTTTTCCAGTTGGGGCCCTTCAGGCTTTAACGTTATGTGAAGAGCGTCCTGCCAAGCAGCTCGCTACACAAAAGGCCTTGCGCCAGCCACGAAGGTCTCACTCAGACGTCGACACGGCTTTTCGGAGGCTCTACCAGAGCATGCTGCGTTGGCAGCACCATGCCGATATCCGAGGGCCCGCAAACATACAGGGCTTGGGATTGAAGGGGTGGGGGGGGGAGAGGCAAGGCTCGTTGTAGAGTGTTTGCAGGGTGGTGTGGCGCGGTGTGCCACCAGCATTGTCGATGCACTCGAGGCATTCCAGGATTTAGGGTCTATAGCCGATAGAGTCGAGCTGTGCCTGTCCTGCCGGTCAAGAAGCACCCAGCAACAAGCTGGGTTACCGTCCCTAACGTCCTGCGTTGTTGCGTTGAGTTAGGGTTAGGGTTCCTTTCGAGTTGGGGAAGGGCGGGGGGGAGAAGGAGGGGGTGAAGACAGCCTATTTGGCGTGACCTCAGCCTCACCATGCTTCGCTGCTAGGATCGCACGCAACAGCATGTTTTCCCTGAGACCCTCGCAGCCCCTGACTACTAGTAATATTCCTTCAATTCTCAACAAGAGCTTACGGGGTTTGGATAAAGGAACATGCTGAAATTAGGGGGTACGGGAGTCTTTGGATTCAGCATAGTGCAGCTTTGGGCTGCTCCAAAAGGCGATAGAAGGACACACCTATTCGGAGCCCACATACTTTTCCTAGGTAGGATAAGGGGGACCCTTAAAAGGGAACCCCTTCTGAACCCTCTTCTGGCTCTCTTAAGCAGGGACCTTATTCAGAGGGTCTATATCCCCAAAATTCCCCTAATCTTATCCCCTACTAAACCCTAAACCCTAAACCCTAAACCCTAAACCCTAAACCCTAAACCCTAAACCCTCGAGAAACTCCTGACCACCCCTCTGCAAACAAGCTTCAGGAGCGAAGGCCCTGGACCTACAAAGCTGGACTCCCAGCAAGGAGGGTTGAGGGTTGAGGGTTTAGGGTTTCAGGGTTTAGGGTTTAGGGTTTAGGGCTTAGGGTTTAGGGTTTAGGGTTTAGGGTTTAGGGTTTAGGGTTTAGGGTTTAGGGTTTAGGTTTAGGGTTTGGGGTTTAGGGTTTGGGGTTTAGGGTTTAGGGCTTTTTACACTTTTGAGGGCAGTAGGACTAGGGAGAGCTTAAGGTTTTGGCCAATCTGGGAACTGAGAGTCTACGGGGGGTTGTGGGATTTTTGCTGTGAAGGGCTTTGGGTCTTTCGGGTTTAGGGTGTGAGGGTGTTAGGTTTAACCCTAAACCCCAAACCCCAAACCCCAAAACCCTAAACCCTAAACCTCTTCCACGCAGGGCCAGGGGTTGGTACTCCGCCAACTATCCTGAGCCTGAAGCTTCTACCGCCCCAGGCTAGGGTTTAGGGTTTGGGGGTTAGGGTTTAGGGTTTAGGGTTTAGGGTGCAGGGTGTAGGGTGTCGGGTGTAATTAGGGTTCAGGGTTTAGGGTTTAGGGCAGTTCAGGGTCCCTGAACCCTAAGACCGGGTATACGCTTTACAGTGAACCCCCTCAACCCTTAAACCCCCCAAAACCCTGAACCCAAAACCTTTTTAAACCCAAAGCCACTTCAACTTCCTGGGATTTAGCCCAAAGCCTCTAGAACAAGCCCTCGTTGCTTGCAGATTGTTTGGGTTTTTAGGGTTTTTAACTTTAGAAGTCCTGGGTTTTGAAGTCTAGTGTTTTGAAATGTAGGGTAGTCGGTTTCAAGATTGGGGCTAATGTGGTAGTTTAAGGGTTTAGCGTTCGGAAGGTTAGGGTTTAGGGCCTAGGATGTTTAGGATCCTAGAAGCCCTAAGCCCTAAACCGCTTAGGACGTTTAGGATGTTTGGGGTTTGGGGTTACAAGTTGCAAGCTCCAAGCCGAGTTGCCCACTGCTGCCGTTCAGCCTCACAGCAGCCTACAGCTCCCTGTGCTTCGTGCGCGCGCGCTCTTGTCAAGAATGACGGTCGATGTGGGGGATGAGGTGGGCGTTCGGGCTTTAGGGCTTAGGGTTTGGGGTTCAGGGTTGAAGGGCTCAGGTCCAGGAAGTTTCGCGGAGTTTCGGAAAGTTTCGAGGAGTTTCGAGAAAAGTTTTGGGGAGGCTGTGTTGTTAACTTTCGTAATTATTTCAAGTTGCAGGGACTTGAGGGTTTAGGATTTAGGGTTTAGGGTTTAGGGTTTAGGGTTTAGGGGACACCCAAGACCCGGTACCCCTTAGGGCTGAGCCTTTCGAGGCGTTTTGTGGGGGCGCAGGCTCGTATAGGGCATCTCACACCTTACTTGCAGGTTCGTGGTACCCTAAACCCTAAACCCTAAACCCTAGACCCTAGACCCTAAACCCTAAACCCTAAACCTTATTAGCCTAGGTAGGCCCTTGGGACATTTTACATTTTCCCGTATTGGGTTTAAAAGGATCCTACTCAGGACTTTTTTTCAGAGGGTTTCAAGGGCCATCAAAGTGACCAATTCAATGATAAGTGTACTTATAACTTATAACTGTACTTAGACCCATATTAGGGCACTTAAGGGGCTTATAAGTGGGTTATAAGTACAGTGACAATTGGTTAATAACTACCATGAACCTCCAAGTACACTCCTTAGGCTTCAGTTTGCTTGTCCCGCGAGATCCCCCGCTTGGGCAGGAGTCGTTTAGGGCTTAGGGTTTAGGGCTTAGGGCCTAGGGTTTAGGGTTCGGGGCTTACACCGTCAGGGATGGCGATCTGAGTGCAGGGCGTTCACATGCACCAGGCAGTGCCCAAACCCTACACTTTGCGGTGAAAAAGACGTGCCGGACAGGGCGAGAACGGCATCCCTACACCTTAAAAGCCACACCCCAAGATGGGCCTTTCCCAACCTAGGGTTTAGGGTTTAGGGTTCAGGGTTTAGGGTTTAGGGTGTAGGGTTCCCCTTTTATACACCCAGAAAAGACCAGAATCCTCTTAAAAAGGGACCCCCAAAAAAGGACCCCCCCCCCCTATTTTCGGAAATCCCCCGCATTCTGGATCCCAGCCCCCCACTCGCGGACCGCAGGTGGTTATCAAAGCCACTGGTGTCAAGGCGGTCGTCAAGATGAGCAATGGACACGCGCGACTCGGAGCGGTCTTAGAGTTTAGGGTTGGGGTGCTCCCCCTTTATACTAATTGTCCTGAGTAGGGGTTATATTAGGGGTTACGAGAATCCCGGTTAAGGACTGTTGGTGTAAGGGGGAACATCCCAAGTTTAGGTTTTACAGCCGAAACTTTAGAAGCCCTATAGACCCTAAACCGGTCATGACACCTGACGCTTTGATCCAAAGCTTTTCCCCCATCCTCCTCCCCCCCCTCCCCCCCACCCCCCACCCACTACACCCTAAACCCTAAACCCTAAACCCTAAACCCTAAACCCTAAGACAGCTCAACTTCCCTAAGCATGACGGTCCTTTTTGGGGACCCTAAACTGACCATGCATTTTATTAAGGATCCAGGTGAGACACCGCCCCAAGAATACGCAACCCTCAGCAATCGCCCCTTTTGCCAAGGTTTATCATGAGGACTCATTGGGCAGTAGAGAGGGCTGGGGGGGCTTTCGAGTTTAGGGTTCAGGGTCTAAGGTTCAGGGTTTATGGTTTAGGGTGTAGGGTTTAGGGTTTAGGATTTAGGTGGGGCTCGGCCCCCCAAAACTCGAGACAGGTAGCCCAAGTAAAAAAAAAAACCGCGGAGGCCTGAACCCTAGAAACGGTTGGGGTTTAGGGTTTGAGGGTTTAGGGTTTAGGGTTTAGGGTTTAGGGTCTAAGCCCTCGGCCTCTATTGTTCCTGCAACACTTGCCGTGAAGGTCCCTAGAACCCCTTAGAACCCCTACTTGAAGGTTTATGGGTACTTGTAAGGAGGGTCCTTTTTTCCAACCTTGGTTCAGGTGCTTGTAGCCCTACTTCAAGCTACCCACGAACCTTCAAGTATTAAGCCTACTTGTGGGCCTAGGCAAACCCTGAAGCCCCTGCAATGCCCTCAAGCCCCCACCCCCTCAAAGAAGCCCTTACTAAACCCTAAACCCTAAACCCTAAACCAGCAGTGCTTTTCAGGGCCAAAGCGGGCGGTTATTGGTATCTGAACGACGAGCTGGAACCCGCCACCTGGCTATGAGGTTCAGGGTTCAGGGTTTAGGGTTTAGGGCTTAGGGTTTAGGGTTTCAGGCTACTGTTCAGCAACTCAACCGTAGGGATTCAGGGGATAGGGTTGCTGCGCAGGAAGGTAAATGGAGGGTTTAGGCTTTTGGCTTGCTGATTGGAGTTTCAGGGCTTTAGGGTTTCCTGTGGGTAAAACGCTTGGCTTTAGGGCTTTCGGCTTTCAGGGCTTTTCGGGTTTAGGAGGCAAGTACTGGGGAGTCTGTTTGGATATTTTGGCTTATCCTTTATTGTACTTAAGAGGTCTTCTTTATTAATAGTTTTCAGAGTGGTTGAAGTGTCTACCTCGGTTCAATTAGTTCCAAACATATTCAGGTTTAGGGTCT